GCATCATGCTGGGATTGCATAACGCTGTGCGGACGCTCTTTGCGATTTAAAGCACGTCATGCGCCGGTTGTCTCGCCTTGAGAACTACCGCTCTCTGTCGGAGCGGATCCTAGCCATTGAACAGATAAATGCATCGTTTCATGTGAAAGTGGAGCGCTTGGCGCCGTTGTAGATGGAGAGAGTTGCAATCCGTGCTCAAACCCAATTGCTAGTCCAGCTTCTGGTGGTCAAGCACCTGTGGATGCCCCTGCGGAGCTAACGATTCTGCTTCACGTGCACCAGATCTGAGTCGGCTTGAGCAAGCCCATAAAACATCGGATGTGTACACATCGAATTTGAAAGGTTTAGCGTATACGCAAGGCTCCGCTTGACCACAACCTTGAAAGGCCCAATAAACCGTGGACGGAGCTTCGTCTTGAAGACAGCAGATACTGCATGGGTATGATGGATTTTAGCATTTGATAAAACCAGGTCTCCGACCTCGGACGTTTTAACATTTCCTTTACCTCATCTGTCTGTAGATTCCTTCTGCATGTCTTGGCTTTGAGCCGTCGCATCGCTAGCGTGTCGTTAATATAATTATGATGTCTACTACTTGCAGTACGGATATTACAAATATAAGGTACGATCATGGTACAAAAATTGGTAGCTGATTATCTACTTGTACGCAAGTAATAGTACTTACGCACGAAAAGAGAGGACTTGATGCTCGAGAGAACAAATAAATCTGTAGTGGTACACCGTAATCTTTCTACAAAGTTACTAAGTTACTAGCACCAACGATCGTCAAACTCAAAAAAGCAATTATGGTGTGTTACATTTTACACTATTCCATGCAACTTAAAGAAAAGACCGAGAAATATTAATGTAGAGTCCTGCAAAGAAGTATCATGGCTAGTACTGCGTTCACATTTTGCAAAGGAGAGATGTGTGGGACCCGTGAGCCACCAGCCTCATTTGTGCATCACGTAAAATTCATTCTTGTATATAGTCACACAGATACATTAAGCATCTTATCTAGCTATAACCAACGCTAAATATAGATTACTCTTGCAAAAGATAGTCAACATAGATACCTCAAATGTTCACGATTTCGGTCATCGTCGGACCGGTCCCCGTCATGCAGCGAGCTGCTGTAGCTTTCTCGCTAAGAGGAGGCTTGGTTAAGATCGGTGACCTTCGTTCTACCCAAGGATAATTTAATCTTCCGTTTTTAGCGTACATTTTATGCCTGGATTCTGTTTGTGGCGAAGACGCCTTTATCTAAATCTATAGGATTTTCTACCTATATAGAAAAACCTTTCAAGCCACGTACTGACTTATTGTAAAATGTGTAACCACACCATTGTGTGGTCATACCATCTTGTGTGACCCGCAACTTCATACTAGGGCTCCAGAAACCCCGTTACACATCTCTGTGTGCTGGTTTACGCGGACCAAGCTACTTTTGTGCGAGGTGCACAATAATTCTAATGGATCTAGTAGCACTCGGCTTCGATTTCTCAACCGGATATCAATCAATCTGTATCTTCGGTGGTGAATCGCAATGTTCGACTACCTGTCGTCGTGTAGCACGACAAGCTTAACAGCTTCGGACCTTTGTTGGTCCCATTCACACGGTCAAGAAACGCAAGACAACTCTTGAATCGATCATAAAAGGGACCTATGAGACAGCTGGCATCCAGTCTATTAAAAGCTCGAGCTGGGATATCTTTTCATATGTTCAAGAAAGGTTAAAAAGCCAAACATTCGGCCATGCATTAGATAGAACAACAGCGCGTCATACTAGCTAAAAAGCTGTGTGGAATAATAGACACCAACCCGCAGGAGCTCCAAAGAACCAATAAACAATATGCTTTGTTGAAAAATAAAGAAATTAAAGGCCTGTACGCTGCCTAATTAGGCGAAACCCGCGATCAGAATATTGTCTAACCGTCGAGGAAAGCAAAGTTGCGGGGCCTGTCTAGCAAGTAGGGACCCTTATCGTTGAAATGGCGGCAGACCAACTTTAGTAGAAGGTAGTGATTGTTATTTCCATGAAGGGTGCTCGACCAAGTACGCCCCGTGACCTTCTATGTCCATTAATCATCTAATTGAAAAATGATGGGCGTGCGTTGCTACCGTGCTACGAGGACCGATTGGAGTGCAAAATGCGAAGGTCATTTGAGCACACAGAGGCGATGGGCCTCTGCCGAGCTTTGAATGACGGGGTCGACCTCGTGGCTACCGCGTTACTTGCAGACGCTGCATTTAACATGAAGTGCTTATACCCTTTTCTCTCAGTTGATAGATATAAAAAGACATGGCCAATCGGAAGTCTTTGCAGTGAAAATGAATAGTTGCATCAGGCAAAGAAAGATCTATAGAAAAAGTCAATCACAAGTTCTTACCAGTAAAAATGACTAGTTTCAGTAGGCGTATGGAAACCTATTGTTCTTTTGTATTTCGTGGCGGATGGTGTTGATAGAATCCAGCCCCAAATGCTGCAAAATTATTTTAAAAGACGATGTGCTCATAGAATAGAATGTCCGAGCTTTCAAAAGCGTTGAAAGCTCTTTTAAATTAAATATCGACTTGCTTCAACGGTCGTCAAGAATAGACCGTTCGCGTCTTTTAGCAGTAACAATATATATATATTTCCTAGCAATTGAATTCTCCGAAGACTTTGTAGATTAAACGCTAATCGGTCCTGGAGTCGGATTTGAGGTCGATCTCAACAAAAGTTTGATGTACCTGACAAATCATTAATAGTCAAGAACATTTGAAGTCATGCACTACTCTCCTTTTGGGCTTTGTTAAGTCCGTAACCCCTCTGCCAATAAAAAACAGCTTTTGACGTGGCCATGAGGCTGCAATAGCTTCAAGGCAAAACTTGCGATCGCTCGATGTAGTCTGCGAATTGCTAAAAAGAAGCTAAAAAGCAAAAGCGATAGTGAGTTCCATTAGCATTCCAAGACGTTCTGAACAGCGTTCGAAAAACAGGTGGGACAGGATCCTAGAACGGTGTGTTGGTGGATTAGTATAATTGTAATCTTTTTGCCAGATATTCCATCTGGTAGAGTCAATCAGAGAATCGCGTTCTCCCCGCTCTGACACGTACAAAAGATTAAGAGTCCATTTGTGCTACGGTATTTCTGGACACGGCTCGGTAGACACAGACGATTATTATCCAGAGGAGATGAACAAAGTCTGGTGATAAATGTTCTATTCTTTGCACAACCTCATGATATTGCTGAGTTTGCGCTAACGTGCAAAGCATCCAACATCTGGAGCGATGAAGATTCTCGTGCTTTACGAGAAAACCCTATTTATCGATTTATGTAGCAGCACAGGTAGCTGCAAAAGATGTAAGTCACTCGCCATTACCTCTGTTGGTAGTTCGTTGATCTTACGTCACGTAGAGGATTGGCAATTAAAGGGATCCAGCTGATTGTTATGATATACCGTTTTTAGTGCAACCTGCTTTTTGGTCTTCCACAAGAATGCGGAGCTCGAAACAAATTGATCGTAAACATCGTTCAAGTTATGCAGCAA